ATCATCTATTTAATAATAGTATTGTGTCTATTTTTTTTTTGCACAAATTGTAACGGTTTCCAGGGGCATGTGCAGAAAAATGAGCGGGGGCCCCCGTAGTGGGGTTCTCCGCGCAGAAAATGTTAAAAGTTTGAAGTCGATTTTCTGAGGGCATTTTTGAAGGAAATTTACTCTTTTAAGTGTATAGGCTATCTCCTGAGTCTCGCCTGTAGAGACTCCGCATGAGCCCTGGACACGCGCCTGGTTTCTAGGAAAGAAAATAACCAGTTTATTTCAGCATATGGGAGATAACTCTTTCGAACATCAGGATGCAGACCACCATTAATTTCCCCATTTTTAAATTATTATTATTAGTATTATTACTAATACATACTATAATACTTTAGGTTTATTCAGCTAAGTACGGGTCGTATGTATTATATATAGTGTATCTAGTGCTTTTCATTATTAGTATATAATTTGTATTGTAAATAGGATTAGGGGTCTGGCATACGCATTTTGCCTGTTCCCCAATTTCCCATTCATTTATAGTCAATAAAATATGTCTTTAAGAAAAGAAAAAAAAAAAAAGAAATCCCCATTGCCTCCAATGTGAATTCTGGTCTCTGTGCTCGGCTCCTATTTTGTCCCTAATAATGGTTAGGTTGAACAGATGGATCAACCATTGGCCATGTCTTTTCTCCAAGCGACCTAGTTTGTGTCGAGTCGAGTGGGTGTTCAGCCCAATTTCTCTCTCCCTCTCCGCTAACTATCCTGTCGATGTGAACACCACTTTGTGTTGGTTTTTTTTTAAAACTAGGTCACTTCGGGACTGACTTATGGTAAAATCTTAATTCAATAAATCGCTTGTGCGTAGGGGTGTTTAATAGGGGGCGGGGGGATGGATACAAACCACGGGGCTGTTCATGCGACCCTATTATACTATTTGTCAAGTATAAGCCTGGGATCTAAACCACATCACTTGACTCAATGACATCCCCGCTCCCTCTCCACCCATATAGCAGTGCATTTGAAGCTAATGATCAATATAAACACATTACGTCAATTCCACACACCACTGATTAAAATCATTCGATATAAGACGTTGATGTGATCTAAGCACGCTTTTCAATTTTTCAATTATGGCCTTTATCCTATTCAATTAAAACGGTGACTTGACGTAAAACATTAATCACTACTTATTCCCTACTGATCGTATAAAATACGTAAATTAAAAGTTAATATAGACATAATCAATTATTGGCATGGGAATTCAATCCATCGAGCTCTTTTTTTTTTAAAAAAAAACCCAACTTGTGACTTAGCTCTATAGACTAGTCAATATTTACTCTCAGCTTATCGAAAATGTCCATAAAAACTTAAAGCGATGGTTGCATATTTTCGTTGAAAGTCAAAACACTATTATTTTTATATCTATTATTTAATGGGTTTTCAAATCACTAATTAATAATAAACACCAGAAATAATAGCAAAAAATGTAGGTCTGTTTATGTTATTAGGCTTTATGTCAGTGATTCTCAACCAGTGCGCCGCGGCACACAGTTGTGCCATGAGAATTTTCTAACGTCACACTAAGGAAATGTGAAAAACCAAGTGATTCTAATTGATTATTCACTGAAATCTACTGATAAGTTCATAGCTGTGTTTTTCTTTATTTAGTTTGGGTCATTCTATGTGTGTATGACTAGTCTTTGTTTACGGTTGTATTCGGTTTGACTCACCATGTTTTTATTTTGCAAAATTCAAATATTTTTTCATGTACTGTATATATTTAGCCAGGTGTGCCGCTATTTTTTCATGTGTTTCAAGGTGTGCCGTTAGCAAAAATAGGTTGAGAAGCACTGCTTTATTTCAACATATTTTAAACATAGGACTATCTATGGCTTTAATATATAACTCTTCAAAAAAAAGAAGGGGATATTCAGAAACAACACAAAATTGCGGAAATGCACTGCTGTTTTTATTAGAAGTAACCAATGTATGTTAATAACAGGCCAATTGCCTACACATGAACATAAACAGTTCATACGGGCGGCTTACCTGACGGCCCCATTTCACTCGCAAAGAGATAAACCGTCAAAAGTGAAAATGCACGTTTTTGATTTTTGTCTTACTAATGAGTAATTGCTCCACCAATCCTCAGACATTCAGCAATTCGTCGTAGAATGATCCTAATCAACCGCCCAATCACGATTTGGAGCAATCTGACCCACCCCTCCTGCAGTGCCACGGCCAATTCTTGCAGTGTTGTCGGTTGACGTTGACGTCGACGAACACGTCTTCCGATCAAAGCAAAGCAAAGATACGCTAAACAGTAAATCTTATACAAGAGCCGATAGGAAAGCAAACATAGATAGGATAAACTAGCCAGCGGTAGTTTTCATCAACCCTTCCTTGAAGTGTCAAATTTGACAATGAACCCCTCCCGCGTTTATGGCGCTATTGCGTGTCGCAGTGCAGCTCAGTGGTTCTGTTGGGGCGATAAGTACTTCATATGTGAACATACTCTCAAAACATATCAAGTGTCCATGACTATTTATCATATCACAACCTGCATAGGTATTTGCATTTCAAAATCCCCTACTCTATTTGAAGAGTATATATAGAATCAAATACGGCACGGGAATTCTATCCACTGAGTTACTTTTTAGAAACTTGTGTCACTTCCGCTATGAATTCAGGCCAAGGTAACAGAAGACTTTAACAGCTGTTGATGATTTTCAAACTAAACTTTATTCCGAGATACTTATCTGATGGGCAAAGTTTCAGAGCATTCAATTCGTCATGAATGTCAGCACAGTTACAAGATTAGCATGTTCTATCACTTGTCTAAACTTCTCTCAATATTGCTATAGGTCTACGTACTTTACTTTCACTATTTGTAAATCATGAGTTCAAATGCTATATCTACATGTTTTATATATATCACAGCTTTACTAACGTATACATTATTGTAGTTCAAAATTGCTTTGTAGACCAGGCCCGTAGCCAGCGGGGGGTAAGGGGGCAATGCCCCTGAAAAAATGTTTTGCCTCCCCCCCCCCCCCGAAAAAAAATTGCCGACCATAGCTCTAAAATACCTACTGTAGACTGTGCATTGCCCCCCCCCCCCCCGAAAACATGTTTTGCCCCCCCCCCCCCCCCCCTTAAAAAATGCCGACCATAGCTCTAAAATACCTACTGTAGACTGTGCCCCCACCTAAAACCTAAACTGCCCCTCCACAGAAATCAAACTGGCTCCGGGCCTGTTGTAGACAGTGATAAAAGTGACATCTAGTCCACATAGGTGTAAGCAATATGTTTTTTGACGGTAATACGAAAGCTTTCTTTGAACTCTGTGCAAGATGATTGACCTTGACGTTCACGTACAGTATAGGTCTACATAAGACGCCGTGTCGGAGCGGCCCCTTTTACTGACCGATTTGGTGGCATATCTAATTTTATTTTATGATCAGTAGTGGAATACCGCGTTTTATCAGTGAAATAAAAGTGTTATTCCACTGGCTAGCAGTAGTCCATGTTGTTTTTACCTAAAATGATTGTAAAATCATAAAATAAATAGAACATTTGTCGTTTTGTCGTGAATAACATATTTTATTTCATCTCTAAGCAAGAAAACGTTTATATCATATCGTCATATTATTAATTAACGTCTTATCATTGTATCGTCAAGAGTCAAGATAACTTAACTGGTTAAAAAATGGGACTAGTTGAGAAAATTTTGACCATTTGATTAACCAGTTAGGAATATTGAATAAGTAGGAATATTTTCATTAAAAAATGTCCCATTTTTGTTGCCGAGAGCGCTAGTTGATTCCTCCTGTGATGAAAGGCCACGAGACACATTGGTAGAGAGTGGCGAAAGTAAATTTCATGAAAGCTGCTTTTTGAATTTTGGATTTGTTCGGATGAAATTCGGAATCCCCATTGCAGGATTCCGAATTCCGGCCTACACCCAGCACACCCGGCCCAGAAAGTCTATTATATCAGCCCAGTGATGGCGTGGCGGCCCGTTAAAGCCACCGGCCACATACAACATGATCATCATCGCTCCATGGCCGGTCCAATATCCGCTTCCCCCCGCCCCAATATAATGTTCAGCAGAAAAAAAAGGTTTTTTAGACGAATTGGACAAAAAATTTTTTTTCATTTTTTGTCCAACCGGCCCTTTGGGCGATCGCCCGATGGCCCAATCCTCCCCTGCGTGACAAGGAGTAAGGTCGCCTGTCCAACCTGGTGGGTTTTCTTCGGGTACTCCAGTTTCCTCCCACTGCTAAAGACCCCTATGCGCAAGCGAATTATTGAAATAAAATTAAACCATATGTTATTCCCGAAATGACCTAGTTTGTGTCGAGTGGACGTTAAACCCCATTTCTCTCTCGCTCTCTTAATCCAAAGCTTTGTCAGTTTTGTATGAAATCGTTTAACTTTTGGATATGTATACCTTTAAAGGCTCAATACCACTCTTGTTGTAACAGAATAATATGTCCCAATCTTTATTCTGGTCAACAAATTGTACTATTTTACAGTATTCCAATTAATTGATGATACAAATTTCATCTTAACACACCTAATTTAAAAAAATGGAAAAATTCAACTAAATGATTTGAAAAGCCTAATGTAAACCTTTTCAAATGTGACTTTGATTTAAACATATTTTCGAACCCTCTGGACAAGTAAAATAGGATGTAATGGATAATTTACACGACAGGTAGGACACTTAAACATCTAATACTTAGAAAAAGGCTAATATTTATTTACTGGAGATGTCAAGCCAGCAAGAGTGTTATTGTCCCTTTAACAACTCTGTCGATGTCGATCACTTTCGCAATACTATTGGCGATATTTAAAAAAAAGCACCCGACCCAGGCGGTATCATTTAACACCCAGACCTAATCAGTCACACACTACTATTACAACATATAACTTGTCAACTCATAAAAAGGTCATTTTAATCAGCCGATCATTTGATATCGGCAGCCTTCCACGCGCAGATCTCGGTGAGCAGGCCAAGTATTTTCGTAAAACATCAGTCTGGCGAATGTTGCAAAAATTGTAGATCGTCATTTGTTTGTAAATAACGCACGGAACTCATTCAAATTTCGACTGACTGATATTTCTTTGGGACATATTTTACAACTATGGAAAATACAACTTTGAGGGGTGAACACAGCGATATTGATCAAGTGTTCATAGAATTCTGGCTGCGCGCGAAAAACAATTCTACATTTTGGATACTTGATGGTCCTCTCAATGCCATTATCTGTATAACAGTGATTATATTAAACATTTTATTTCTAATCGTTTTACAGAGGAAGGAAATGCGATCTGTGACGTCATTTGTGTTGTCCGCCATTGCTGTAGCTGATTTATTACGAACTTTGATTTCTTTACCAGTATCTCTGTATATTTGTGTTCCCTATTTTAAGAGCTACACGCCTTACCACTGGTGTGTTTATTTAAAGATGCCATTTTTATTAGTGTCTAATGTTTTTTATACATCGTCAGTGTGGTTAACGCTATATTTGGGTGTATTTCGCTACATTTTAGTCTGCCATCCAATCAAAGCTAAACTTTGGTGTCGCTATAAGATTGCTATTGGAGTAGTTATTCTGATTTTTGTCATTTCTCTCTTCTCGTATGTTTGTTTATTGTTTATGCGAAAAATAACACGTGTTGTCTTTTGGAACGAAGAAGAAAAGAGATCTGTTTCGTCATGTTTTGTAGACGTGGTGGACACATGGCACAATTATATTTTTATTCAAACTATCTTGGAGATTATTTTTGTTCAAATTATACCTTGTGTTGGCATGTTGTTTATTACGTGTAAATTGGTTTACACCCTCAAGTCAGCAGCCAGGTCAAGGAAAGCCATGAGTCGACAACTCAATCGTTCGAGAAATGAATCTCACCAAACAACTTTATTGTTAATTGCCATTTTGATAGCATTCCTCGTATTTGAAATACCTCATTCAGTACTTCAGGTGTTCATCATTCTTATGATTAATTTACATAGGTATCATTTCCTGCTTAGTTACTTAAGGCTTTTCGATACAATATTAATCCAGATTTTATATATAACCAGTACTTTTAATTTCTGTATTTACTGTACTATGGGAACAAAATTTCGATTGACACTTAAAAAGATAATGTCTTTCAATTAAAAGTAATCTGGAAAAAAGTGTATTTCTTAAAAGTTACATGGACTTATTACTGTGGAAAGAAGTTTTACTCCGTCCAGAACAGTGAGTAACCGTGGCCCCTACTTATTGCTACGGCCTACTCGTTTGTCATAAAACGTTTCGACCGTATTTACTGTCTTCTGTACATATATATAAATATCTAATAATTCTTTATTCCTTTATTTAATTCACTAATCACATCGTAAATTATTGCATCATGTTTACATAAGCGGACGTAAAATAAACTAATTCACACACACTCTTATTTCGGATTGTTTAAAGATACATCATGGGAGATAAAAAGATGATGTAAAGGAAATTTCCTGAAAATTTCAGTCAAATTGATCCATTCTGAACCGAGAATTTAGCGATTGAATGAGCGTTGAGCAGCAGATCGGATCCTAATCCAGTAAATATCGCAGGCTAGAGTTGATTATGGTTTGGATAAGTTAATTAATGTCTAATTAATAATGTAGATAACATTCCAGGCCTAAAGAAAGACCTGCAATAGGCAGATTTAGCACTTGCATAATGTATGCAACTATTTTGACCTAATCGGTTACAGGTTAGAGGTAAATTACACATGGACACGCCATTTTGCCAGGAAGATGGCTAGTGAGGATGGCGATTGTTAGCCGCCCAGTTCAGACGGCCAAAACAAGATAGCTACAAGAACGTAGCTAAAAACGTTGAGATATATGGTATGCTTGTTTTTAGCTACGATTGGTTGCCTTCAGTTTCCCCTGGCAAACTTAATTTCTCTATTAATACACGTAACATCTTAAAAATAAGATAATTTTATACTATTAGGACTAATGAAACATACCCGGCCCAATGTAGTTAAACAACTTTCGTTTGTCTGCAAATATTGTCAGTAAAGTTAATCAAGCGGTGTTTTTTTTGGGTTTTTTTGTTTTTTTAAACAAAATCGGATAACCCATTAAAAGAGAGAGAGAAATGGGGTTTAACGTCCACTCGACACAAACTAGGTCATTTCGGGACTAACATATGGTTAAATTTTATTTATATAATTCGCTTGCGCGTATGGGTCTTTAGCAGTGGGAGGAAACCGGAGGGCCCGGAGAAAACCCACGAGGTTGGACAGGCGACCCTACTCCTTGCCACGTACAACCGGGGATTCGAAACCACGCCAGTCGACTCAATGACAGACTTTATGAGGATAACCCATTAAAGGTTCTCGCTTTGGGTATTATATGCCGTATCTTGATTGGCTGTTGTCTCGACATTTATTTAGCGCCACCTTCTTGACGTTAACACGTCAAACCTGTTCCGTTTTAAAAGGGCGGGCAATGCCAGTGTCTAACGCTTCGATTTAGAATAGATGTGTACCCATTTCAGGTCTATGCTTAATTGTATTTGGATAATGTGGCAAAAATGTAATAAATGCTTTGAAGTAAAAATTGAAAGTTTTGCTTATTGAATTACTATCTGATTGGCATCGTGCTTTGCCAAGGTTTTTTTTTTTTTTTTTAACTGGTTTATTTGCCTCACCCTTTCGTTCCGAGGCGCAAGTTAAACTGGTTTAATGATCGCAGTTCTTTTAAAACAAGTTTAAAGTTACAATTTCATATTTTCTAAGAAAGTCAAAACATAATCATTTCTATGTATTTTGCTCAATAGGTTGTCAAATCACTATTATACGATCATAGGTGTCATTCTTACACTTAAAACTCATTTACACCGGAAATAATAACACAATTACCTCCCTTGTTTTCTATTCTCCACCATGGAGTAGTTATCTTCAAACGCTGGAATTTGAAGATGAAAATGATATTTTTGCCAATTACCCAACTGGCAATAGTGAATTATAGGATAGGATTATTCTTTAACAAGGTAGGACTGTTTATAGATACCATCTATTTTAAGGCTTTATTTTAATAAATTTTAAAAATATAACTTAAGAATATGAAATTGCAACTTTAACTTATGCGTCAGAACGCAATGGTGGGGCAGATAAACCAAACCAGTTTAAAATTTCAAAAGCCACCAGCGCTTCGTTCTGATGTTTACATTTCTGGTAAATATTGTATTGATCCGTCGGCAATCATCAAACATGTTACACAACAATAAATCGTCTAATATGCCTAAACAATTATTAACTATTTATTATACAAATTATCGTCATATGATTATTAATAATTATTTATTGATTTAATTATTAGCTGAAATGGACTGGTTGTTATATTTGACATATAGACGATATTAATATTGTCCTATACATTACCACGGGCTTATCTGTTCAGTATAAAAGACATCTGGTTTTAAGCGAGCTAAACCCATTGGGTCAAAAACATAAATTAAATTGGATTGATCTTATGTGTTATTTTTTTTTGGAGTGGGGGGGGGGGCACGATGGCTTAGATGGTAAGACGCTGGCTCGCTAGCCTGGAGGTCGGGTGTTCGATCCTTGCATTGGCCAATAAAGTTCATCCAGATTTTCCGGCGTGGTTTCCCCTTGTCAGTGATGCAGGACGGAGGGTCTGACAAGGACAGCTGTCTAGTCGTTCGGATGGGACGAAAAACCGAGGCCCCAGGTACACATTGGCGTGCACGTAAAAGATCCCTTGGCAGTTGGAATTCGATATAAGAGTAGGCCGTAGCTCCGCTGCCCGGGCAAAATTTCCCTCATAGCACATTGTATGGCTGGTGTATGTCCGTCTTCATTAGCCCAGTTTAGGAGCAGAACAGTAGGACGTTAAACCCCATTTCATTTCATTTCATTTCAATTATTTTGGGACAAACTTCATATGCTTTAATCTTTATTATACGCCAACATTTCAGTATGGCCGTATTATAGCGTCATCCACGTCCGTCGGTCCGTTGAGAGGCCCGTAGCCAGAGTCGTGAGCTGCGGTCCGTTGAGAGGCCCGTAGCCAGAGTCGTGACCTGCGGTCCGTTGAGAGGCCCGTAGCCAGAGTCGTGAGCTGCGGTCCGTTGAGAGGCCCGTAGCCAGAGTCGTGAGCTGCGGTCCGTTGAGAGGCCCGTAGCCAGAGTCGTGAGCTGCGGTCCGTTGAGAGGCCCGTAGCCAGAGTCGTGAGCTGCGGTCCGTTGAGAGGCCCGTAGCCAGAGTCGTGAGCTGAGGGGGGGGGGGCAGGCCCCAGATATTGTACAGTTTCTGTAGTGCAAATCCTATCATTTTTGCTGCAGATTTATGCTTTATGTCATTGAGTCAACTGGCGTGGTTTCGAATTCCCGCATGTACAAGGAGTAGGGTCGCCTGTCCAATCTCGTAGGTTTTTTCCGGGTCCTCCATTTCCTCACACTGCTAAAGACCCCTACGCGCAACCGAATTACTGAAATACAATTGAACCATATGTTAGTCCCGAAATGACCTATATAGTTTGTATCGAATGGACGTTAAACCACATTTCTTTACATGCAATAATTATTAACAATTTTATTAACAATGATTGCAAAACATATTGTTACGAATTTACAATGAAGTTATTATTGCCAAAATGTCGGAATGTGGAGATAAAGATCACTAATAACATTATTATCATTACTGTAGACATAGCAATAACATGAAACAAAAATAGATAAGTCTTTATTATAAAATTATACACTTGTCTTTCGTTATTATAAAATCTACATTTGTACGGTGGCCTTTTAGTGCCATACGTTGATTTATACTTTTCTTGAAATTTAACTCATATGAGAAATCGCAGTAAAAACTATGATAAATGAAAAATCTGTTCATCGCGCAGAAAAGGTTTCCGCGAAAACTTTATACTGCGGAGAAAACTATGATAAATAAAAAAACATGAACAATCTGTTCATCGCGCAGAAAAGGTTTCCGCGAAAACTTTATACTGCGGAGAAAATGTTTGCAACGCGGAGAAAATGTTTACACCACGGAGAAAAGGTTTACACCGGGGATAAAAGGTTTACACAACGGAGAAAAGGTTTACACCGCGGAGAAAACTTAATACCACAGAGAAAACTTTCTACCACAGAAAAAAACGTTTACACCGCGGTGTAAACCTTTTCATGTTTTTTTCTTTTATCATAGTTTTCACTGCGAAACTGCGAGGTAAATTTCAAGAAAATGTATAAATCAACTCAACGCACAGTTGCCTGTCTTTATTATAGAGTCTACTGTTGCCCATGTCTTTATTATAAAATCTACAGTTAACCACCCCATATTTTCTAAATATTCCTGTCTCAAACGATCCCGTGTGGGCAGATTTAGCCCCTTAAAAAACGTGTCCATTAGTATACCTTCCAGTGTGTTTGTGCGAATGCAGGTGGGGATATTGTCTGAATATTTTCAACCTCACTTTGCTCTATCGTCCATTAAATGACCCACCCCTCGCACACGCCCGTGACTATTATCCTCAAATGTAACTTCTGCCCCTCTCTTTTTTTATACTACACCGGGTATCTTTCGAGAACTTGTTGATTTCTACTCTGACGTAATCTATCATAATTTCTCACTTTATCGCTAGAGGTATTTTTAGATAATTTCCAAGATTAATATCAGATGTTGAAGCAATTTCTAATATTACTCATGGAGATAGTATTATAGAACTCTCGTTCATAATCCCTCTAATTTAGATGGTTTTATAATATTGAAAAAAAAACATGTTTTTTTCTAAACTGTTTCATGGCATTCAGGCGAAAGTCTTCTTTTAGTCACGGTCAAGCGAATATTTACTGCGGATCAGTTTGGCTCTTTTCAACCGAGTAATTTACTCCCCCATAAACACAATCTGATTAAAACACAGATCCAATTTCGTTTCGTTTTTATAGTTCAAAATTTCGATTTTACTTGTCTTACTACACTTGGGTAGGCCATCGAAAGTATAAAAAACGAAACGAAATATAGATCTATATTTTAATTAGATTGTAAAAAAACATTCCTACTTTTAGCTTATTTCTCTTTTTTTATCACTTTTAGGGCTGGAAGTATTTTTTTAATGTAGAATAAAAAGTCGTCAGATGTTGAAGCCATTTTATTGCGTTAAAGAATGAAGGAAGCCCAATCAGCGCGGTTTTGTGTGTGTGTGTGTGGGTGTGTGTGTGTGTGTTTTGCTAATGCATTTTATTAAATAAAACTAGTTACTTCGGGGTGATACACTATTGCAAACCCGTTTTCATTATAGAACAGTAGGCTGTTAAACTCCATTTCATTTCATTTTCCACCCTGGCGTTTGTGTTTTTTCTGAGTATGATGTCTTGTCCGTGTATTTGTTTTTGTGTAAATTTTGCGTGGTTGCAGCCCCCCTAGTTTTAAATGTAGGGAGCAGAAGCTTCTACATGTAAGTTAACCCTAAAAATCTCTTCTCTCTCTTTAGACAAGCTATAAATGTTAAATCACTACTCCACGTATTGTGTTTTGGGAGCCGGCAAAGATGTCCCGAGTTCAATCCCGATGTTCTAATAGGGGGGGGGGGGGGCAAGGGGGGCACCCATTAATCTGGTGTGCCCTCTGTTTGCCCCCCCCCCCCCAAATAATTTTAGAAAATAAAAAAAAGTATTTGTGATACGTTTCGGTAATCAATACCTTCTACGGTGAATAAATCCCACATCCCCACTCAGTCATAAACTTGCATGTTGTAGAGCATTTCCGACAGTCTATTTTTCAAAATTTTCTTGGCGAGGTCCCCAATGTACTCGCTACTTTGGCGCACACTGATCCGCAGTGAATATTTGCTTGGCCGCGACAATCACTGATAAGGATGACATTGATGCGGCTTAATAAGCTAGAAATATTAACTTTTTTCCTGCGACAAATTAAATTCTAAAACATTTTTTGTATATATTGGAAAAATAAATAAAGGCCTTTGACGTATTTGTAGGTAAAAATTATTTCCTATTTAGTGTAAATGGGTATTAAAATGACTAAAATGCAGCATTCTCTC